GCAGACGGGCACCTGGGGGTGGGGGGCTCAATCGGTTAAGCGTCCGACTCTTGATCTCGGCTCAGGTCACGATCTCATGGATCATGGGGTCGAACCCTATGACGGGTTCTGTGCTGACAGGGTGGAGCCTGCTTGGGATTCTCTCTCCTCTCTCTCTCTCTCTCTCTCTCTCTGCCCCTCCCCCTTTGCTCAAAATTAATACACAAGCATTTAAAAAAAAAAAAAAACAAATGCAGAAAAGGAACTTTTATCTATGGTTGGAAGGAGCTAAGAAGAACACCAAAACACACAGCTCCTGGGTTACGGTGAAGCACGTGATCTTTGATAGAGCCGTGGTTTCCATACGTGCCCACGCTGCTGTATTCCTACGGAAAAGTCTGGCCCCGGGCCTCAGTTTCCTCACATGCAACATGAGACCAGTGGGACCAAGTGGCGAGATCGCTGCCTCATGGTTACTCTTAGATACCGGTTATAAGTGGGTAAGCATTTGTTGGCAACCAAGAACCCCATGCGGGCAAGACAAGCCTGGTGCGGTCTGGCTTTCTAGAAGCCAGATGCTAGGAATCAGAGCAGTTTTACCAGACATAAACGCAAGTATGGCACACTTTGGGAGCCATGAGGTCACACTGGGTGACCACAGACCTTTCTGCTCTCAGTTCTCCCTGAGCCTCGGTTTATCACTTCCCCCTGGAGCATCGGTTCAGCCTGTAGCAGGCTTTACTCTAAGTTGCCCCAGCGATCTTAGAATTTTGACGTCCTATCATACCAGACCCAGAGAAATCTGTAAGTCGTTTTGGTCGTGCTTAATTTGAGCTGTAGTAACCCGCTTCTTCCCTCTTGTTCCCCTGATCCGAAAGCGCACAGAGGCCCATTTTTTAAGGTCAACATTCAAGGCCAGGTTTAGCTCTCAGTCAGGTCCTTTCTGATCCGGAAGCTTCTGTTAATGAGAAGCCTGCTTCAGGGAGTCCCTCCTCCCGCCCAAGGTAACATGAGGCGTCTCCGGACAGGACGGTGACCTCACCAGGCCCTACAGACATGCCTTCGCCTCCCCATGCACGAGGGTGGAGGCTGTGTGCTCCAAGCTGACGGAGGAGGGCGCTGACTTATAGCAGGGATGGAGTGGACAACAGGATTTAGAATACACACGCACATACAGAGAGAACACTACAAGGAAATTCACACTCAGAGCGGTGTCTCAAGGATGTGCAAATTCCTGGTTCGGACACACAAGCCGATCAGTCCCAACTGGCTGGGGCTCTCGGAGCACTGACCACACTCCAGAGGGTCTGGTGTGGGATCCTGGCTGCTGGAACGTGGGCTGGAGGTGGAACAGAGCTCCAGGCCACCGTGATGGGGATGCAGCCACTCCCGGGTCAGAGATAACCCAGGGGAGACGTTGCAAGAGCAGAAGCGGGGATGGGGGAGTCAGCAGAGCTCGAGATGATCCGAGGTGCAGGTGTCTGGGAACGGCTACAGTGCATGCAGACAAAGGCCAGAGCTGAGGCCTTTCTCCAGCCATCCTTCCAGCCAGAGCATTTCCAAACCCAGCCAATCGCCTGAAAGTCACGGCACACGCACTCTCACTTCTTCCTGGGCAATGCCTGCCGCTGTGAATTCGTTCTGGGGGTCAATCAGCCCGTCCCTGCCTTCCCCTGGGCTGGAGACACATGAGCACATACCACGGCAAATCTTAATTCCTCCGTGGCAATTCCCATGGAAAAGCACTCCGCAGTGTGTTGTGGTTAAAAAAAAAAAAAAAAAACCAAACAAAAAAGACCAACTCCCTTACCCCACGGTTTAAGCCCAGACACCCGTGTTGTTTTCGTAGTTTGTACTTACTGTACTTGGTTTTGGTGTGAATGGAGCAGTTCTCTGGGCAGTTTTCGGAAACCAGCACGGGACTGAACAAATTTGGGCAGCACTCCAGCTTGGCACAGACCCGCCGGCAGAAATCCGCTACTTGGTCGGACGTCCGCACGATCTTGGCCACGGCCCTGTAGGTTTTGCCTCTGTATCTGGAAGGAAAAAAGGAAAAGCCAACGGCGAGGCCGCACAGTTACTCGGACCCGTTCCGTACGGCGGATTCCAAAAGAGCCCCTTTATTTCCTAACAACAAATCGCACAGCGTGTGGGACTTGCGGGCCGTTTGTTTTTACGTTTCCTTCCGAGCTCACCACGGCATTTTTAAGGAAGCCCAGCATCGTGCCCAGCGCACGTGACTGAGGGCTGTAACAGAATCCCCTCCACAAATATGTCTGCTTAGCACCTTCTCTCTGTGGGAGACGTGATGGAACGTTCCAGAATGCTTCTGGAATCCAGACGTGGTCTCGGGTTGCTCATCGCTTTTGAGGAAAAAGAACTTCATCCTGCCCAAGGAAAACCACAGGCGGTGAAGCCACTGACAAAAGAGTAGAGACCGTTTCTTCTAGAAAGCAGGGTGGATGGATTCTTCTTCAAAAATGGGCACCAAAGCCCTGGTCCAAATATTTACGGTAGTGATGACGTAAGTAATGCCTGGCTCTTCCGAGCACTTGGATGAATCACCTGTCAGCACATTTTTTAAAATATCCCTGGTACAAAACAATTATAACCTTCTCAGCTGGCAGCGTCTTAGCTGACGTATCGCGGAACTCAAGAGTCCACCTACACGAAGAAGTCATCAAAACCGTGGGGCCTCTTCAACGGTGCCCTTCATGCACACCCTAACTTTCAAGCTGAAATCTCGCACAACAATTTCTTTTCCAGGAAAACAGCAGGCTCTCTGGCAGGTGACACTCGCGTTAGTCTTTGGAAACTAGGCCAAAATCCAGAGGCATGAACCACCGAGTAGGGCAACGCTGCCCTTGCACTTGGGATGGGCCGAACCTCGCCAAACCTGCAGAGCCCATTTGTGTTTCGGGGTTTCCAAAAGTCTGCCACAAAACAGCGGGAATACCACGCAGTTCGTGCAAGCAGCGTAACGTAAGGAGAGCATCGCTTTTGTAATTTGCGAATAAAATACTGCGTTCGGTGGGCACCCGGGGGCTCAGTCGGTTGAGCGTCCGACTTCAGCTCAGGTCACGATCTCGCGGCTCGTGAGTTCGAGCCCCACGTCGGGCTCTGTGCTGACAGCTCGGAGCTTGGAGCCTGCTGCGGATTCCGTGTCTCCCTCTCTCTGCCCCTCCCCCACTCAGACTCTTTCAAAATTAAATACATGTGAAAAAAAAATTTTTTTTTTAAATATTACACTCAAAACCTAGATCTGGTTCCCTAAAAATAATGCAGTGATAGAAATAAACAGGATAAACTGATTCTGGGTTTATTTCAGCTTGGTTTTCTTTCTAGGCTTCTGAAGGCCGGGAGAATACCACCCCCTCGCAATATCATTTCTTTTACAGTATCCACAGCCAAAAAAATTAAATTCTAACTTGAAAAATCTGGCCTTTGTGTTCATTCTCTGGTCTTTCCAATCCCAGCCCTTCTGTACTGATTGCTGTTATATTTCTCTGAAGTGCCAAGCATGGCTTTCCATGTAGGAAGAACTAAAAAGCAATTCTTTGTAGATAAGATCATGCTTTAAATCACACAGCCCTGAACAACTGTTGATCCTTCTAGGCCCTCTCTTGACCCTCGGTGTAGGAAGGCAGCCCCAGCCCTGAGGAGGGCTCTGTGATTCACCTGTGGCTAGTTCTTGCTCATGGCTTTCGTCATGCTTCATAATAAACCCAGCACAATTCTGTGGACACAGCATACCGCTAAGGTTCTGGGGGAGGCAGAATAAAAACATGCCACGGATGTGACGTCCCTGGAAGTTTTTTCCCACTATGATTTTTAACACTTTTTAAATGTTTGTTTATTTTTGAGAGAGAGACAGAGCCAGTGCACGAGCAGGTTCCAGGCTCTGAGCTGTCAGCACAGAGCTCAACGTGGGGCTCGAACCCACAAACTTCGAGATTGTGATCTGAGCTGAAGTCGGATGCTTAACCGGCTGAGTCCCCCAGCACCCCTCCCACCACAATTTTGGTAGCCCTAGGGTGCTCTCCTTTAAAGAGCTCAATATCAAGATTCTT